TTAAGTTAACAGTTTTTTGGAGGTAGGAAAGCTCTTATCAGAGCTGGATTGAATCATGTTGTCCAGGTGAAACATGCTGAATTTACAAAGTAATTTTTTTTCCTACTATCTGTATGTTTGTTCACCAAATCGAGCACATTACTTTTTGAAATCGTTGGGTTTTGCCTAACGTTATTGTTGTTTTTTTTTAGCACTTGCGAATATCTTTTAGGTATATTAGATGCCGATCCGTTTGGAACTAGCAGTAATGCTGAAAATGATTTCAGGAAAAGCAAATGAGAGAAATTAGGTCAAATCAAACCAAGAAAAAAAATTTTAATTTTAAAAAAGAATATTTTTGTATTTAACCAAATTGTAATTAATGGCATCTCATTGCGTTATATATGTTTAGTAACAAACTTCTGCAAGGCACGGAACAAGTTCTATAGTGAAAACAAATTTTACAAACGCTGAGGCGAAGCTTAGTTTCTTCAGTCACGGTGAAGTAACGCTTGTTAAACATTTGCAGGTACCATCAGTGAACAGGATAGGATGAACACTTATTCTGCACATCAGAAAAAAACTTGTACTTTGAACTGCGGCACACAAGGTTGACACCAAAACAAATTCTATTTTGTTTTCTAAAAATTTGTGAAACGTTTAACAACCTAAGGAAGTTGAGAAACTTTTTTATAGTGCTTCATATTACTTTCATCTGATTTTATTCTGTTAGTGGAGATAGGAACTAGACTGACTTCTTGAAAGGAAGAAAGCGAGGATTACAAAAAAGGAAAAATAACCAAAATAGTCGCTAGACTGTCAGTTGTACAGATGAAGAAAGCGTCCAAAATTTGAGAAGTTTTAAAGTTTGATTTACACTGTAACACTGCGGAGTATATGTTACTAAAAGTTGATCTACCTCCTTGTTCTGCCAAACATCTGTATTTGTCGCCTATTTAACCCTATGTTAACCATCGAGTTAACAGCTAACCATTCATTCATGAAACTTACAAAAGCAAAGTAATGAAAAATAATGAAAAATAATGAAAAATGACAAAATAATGAAAAATTACTCTTGACACTTTTTACTATTCGTACGCTTTTCTGTACTTCTCTTCGTATTTGGCAAATATTATATTCAAAAAAAAAAATTTCGATTTCAACAGCATCAACTACCACATTTATCCAATTGATATTTACTGTAGAGATGTTTTTCTTGCC